GCTGCTAACCATTTTTGTTCTATCTTTGCCAGCAGTGATGACAGAATCACCACTTCCTTGGTTTCTTGCCTAGAACTTGATAACCCTTAGCAATGCTTTCTGGGTTCCTTCTGGTAATATCATTGGTTTCCACAGAAATTGTGTTCCCAATTTTGATAAATTTTCCTTTCAAAATTAAATGTGTTGGTTGCTTTTCAAATTTATTGGTCTTTCCAAAAAGAATTCTCGATTTTATTTATGAATTTATTTTTTGATTTTCTAATGAAACCAATTTCTGCTTTTAATTTAATTATCTTTCAGTGCTGATTTTATTTTCCCATTTTTCTGAAAGCAAGTACAATTCCTCAATTTTTTTTCTTTATTATTAATATTGCCATCCAGGGCTATAAATTTGCTCCAGCTATATCCTAAAAAATGTTGATATGTTGTGTTGATGCTATGATAATCTTTGAGATATTCTCTTAATTTTTTCCATAATTTGTTCCTTACCAAGGTATTATCTGCTAAATCTTTGTTTAATATGGCTGTAGACTTGTACTCTTTTATTCCAATATTGTGGTCCGCTTCTCTTTTGCTGCAGTCTAATCTTTGGATATAGTTGTAGTACTTGCTGGCCGGGTTTATATTCTGAGCATTCCCATGGATTTTCCCCCACACAGAAGGTGCCAAAGGGGGAAAGTATTCATGGCTTATGCAGTTTCAAGGGATTCACGTAAAAGGGAGTTGGGTGAGGTACATTGTCAGGCTATAAAAGTGTTTTGTTTTGCTTTGTTTTTTAAATAAGAGGCTGGATTTCTTTATGGCATCATGCCAGAGACCCAGTCTTTGTTTCCTGAGCTCAGAGCAAAGTACCTGACACACAGTAGGCACTTAATGTTTGCTGAACCAAATTCAACTGAACCACAGCCACGCTGGCACTCTTGATCTAAACAAAACCAGAAGACCTAAACAAATTGTTAAGAAATAGCAAAAATATTTCGCATTTCTCCTCAGAGAAACAAAGGAGGCAGTCCAATGCAGTGCAAAGAAGACTAGATTTTTAATCAGAGGACCTGGGTTTGAATTCTAACTCAGCCACTTGCTACTTTATTTTTTTCAAATAACAAAGGAACTAGTTTTGCCTTTGGCTGCCATGTTTCTGTACTTGGCGAGGAGATTGTCTTCAGAGACTAAGATAGATTCTGAATGGGTTTAGGCCTCCCTATTGTAGGAATTGTTTTGCATTGGTTAAACACCTCTAAGAAATGGTGATAATGAAGGTCAATGTTCTTTTGTCCACCTGTCATTTTCCAGAATTAATGGCTTGTTTAAACAGGTTAGGTTAGAGTTTAGATAATCACACTTAGTGACTGGATTATAAGATCAAAAGAGCATAGCTCCATAGCTGGAAAGAATTTGAGAGGTCTTCTAGCCCAGCCCCTTCATTTTATGGATAAGGAAACTGAGACCCAGAGAAATGAAACAACCTACTTATGACCACACAGCCGGTAAGGATTAGAGGCAGGATCTGAACCCAGATCTTCTTAATTCAAGTCTAGCTGACTATCCATGATGTCATGCTACCTCTCAAAAGGGGAAAAAAACATGTACACTTGAAAAGGTACAGATCTGCTGTCCTTAGATGTAATTTATTTCATTAGCAGTAACAGAACAACCATTACCTTCCCAGTCCCTAATGTAGCATGTGAGGAAATAGGAATGGCCTTTAAGAAGATGAAATTCTAAGAGTAATTACACTTGGCCAAATATATACAGAATAAAACCATGGTAGAGTTGATGCAATTGTAAAGCCACTCAGGGACTGACTTTTTATTATTATTTTTAAACGTGGTTTCATTTTATTCAGTTTGACTAATCTCACCCAGCATTAACTCTATTTCAGTTTGCAGATGATGAAATGAAATGTAGAAAGGTCCACTTCATATTGTTGGCATGCCTGTAGGCATCTCCCCCCTTATTTAGCCCAGATTCAACTAGCAGGCAGGTTTTAGATTTCAGCTTCATAAGTAGACAACTATAGAAAGGTCTATCTGAAGACAGTTTTATAATGCAAAGTAACCTAGGATCAAGTACAATGATTGTAGCTAATTATTATAATTTGAGCTTTAAAAAAGTTAGACCAAGAGGAATTTCCCCAATGGTTTAAAATATGGTTTATTTTAGGTGACCTAAGTAACATTTTCTTAAAATGATACCTCTACTCCATATAAATCAAAGGAAAAAAAATAAATGAATGAAGTTCAAGATGACGTCAGTCCTAGTTTGTCCCAAGTCCTGGTGTGGTATAAATGACAAAAGCAGTCAGTTTTGGTAATGTAATGTAAGATGATGTAAAGTAATCAACTAAATTTGGTAAGATTTCTTCATTGTGGGGGCAGCTAGGTGGTGAAATGGATAGAGTACCAGCCCTGGAATCAGGAAGACCTGACTTCAAATCTGGTCTCAGACACATTAACACTTACTAGCTAAGTGACTGGGGAAGTAACTTAACCCCAATTGCCTTCCCACGTCCCCAAAAAAAGATTTCTTCATTGCTAAACTATTCTTAAAGAAAGTCATAAATGGGATCACACTACCCTCACAGAAGTTCAATAAAGCCATCTTGACATGACATCTGGATTACTGTTGTTACCTATAAAAAACTGATAGTTTTTGAAATTATGAGGGTATGTTTGATTTGTTCTGTAGTTCCAATCATAAAAGCTTTTTCCTCTATTTGGCTTCTATTCTTCAAGTCTGCCTTGGAACTGATTTCATGCAATCTTCGAGGTACTTTTTGTAGGATTCTTTTGTGAAGTTCCACTAGTAGGAACTTCAGCAGAGGTATTTCCACCAAGGAGTGAATCATCAATAGTGCCCTTTGTCCTACAGGAGACTGTCTTCTCCACTTCTCGGCACAGCCTGTTCTGATTTCCCCAATCTTGTAGATGTCAGAGAATCTCATCCTGACTGAGGAGGTCTTAGTAGATGATAATGGTGGTGAATGGAGGAAAGCAGCTATGGAACTATTGGTGCCATTGTGAGTATCATGTAAGTGGAACTTGAGGTGGGGGAAGGATGTGGGAAAGCAGGGAATGACTTCCATGATATCTCAAAGAGGGGAAGATTTCAAAAGAACCGAAAAGATCACAAAAAAAGGAGGTTGTAGAGGGGACAGACAATATTAGCAACTACTGATTCATGTGCCTTCTTTCTCATTTCTATAAAATCTTCATAAGAATAATCTTTCCATTCATCAAGGACTTTTTTTTAGGCAAGTTAGGGTTAAGTGACTTGTCCAGGGTAGCACAGCTAGTAACTGTCAAGTGTCTGAGGCAGAATTTAAACTCAGGTCCTCCTGACTCCAGTGCTGGTGCTCTATCCACTGCACCACCTAGCTACCCCCTATCAAGGACATTCTTGATGAAAACATAAGAAGTGAATACCCAGAGGTTTCACAGACTTTCTTTAGCTGACAACATTTTTACGGCCATGCTACTGCCTGAGAGATGCGGAGAATATAAGATCCTATTCTGTATACTGATTATTGATTTTTTAAAAAGCTTGTGAATTGGTAGAACAAATGTAGCCTTGAAGGCTGTCCTCAAACAAGGTGTCTCCTACACATACATTAAAATTATACAGGACCCTATTAGAGATGAGACTGTGGAGATAGCTTTATTCAGTGATTTGTCTAGAGTGTTGACATAAAGTGAGCTGTAATATCAGGAAACACCTAAGGTGTTTGCCATATCATGGGTGATATCTTACAGAGTCCTTATAAAAAGAATATTGCCTATCAGTGGAGAAATTCTCCAGCTGCTCCTGTTTGCCCCATTTGCAGATGACATTGTATCCAATGAGATAACATAAAGCACTTAGCACAATGCCTGGCACATAGTAGGCATAATATAAATGCTTATCTCTTTCCTTTCCATTCCTACTAATCGAAACGATCCCCAGAACACCACAAAGCCTCCTCGATGTAATTCACAGCAGTGTGAAAGAGGTCAGGCTAAACCATCCACTTGGGGAAAAACATGAGAGATGAGTTTTGCACACTTTGCCAATTAGCTGGAGGAGCAACTTGGACCTTTAGCTTGGGCAAACACTGCAGACCAGTAAGGTGGTCATAGAATTGAACAGGAAGAGGAGATTGAGCTGTTTCGTATTAGGAAAAAGACATCTTCAGTGATGCCAAACAGTTTGCTCCAGAAGCACCATAACAACATAGTGTTCTCCCACTGATGCTAGGCAAGCTATAGACCAGGATCTCAGAAACGTGAATTTTACAACTAGCCCATAGGCAGCATCATGGGTATAAGGAGGGTGCGGCATATTATCAATAACAACTTATAAGCAAGAAGGAGCATTATAGAACATCTTGGAGGCTGTGTATGAGTAGAAAAGGATGTGGATCAATCATGCAATAAGAATGCATAACAATAGATGAACAAGCCAAGTTGGACACTTGCATTTGTAAACTGTTAAGGGACTCTAAGGAGGGTCTCCGTGATTTTGGATAGGTATAGAGGATTTGTAGAAAGAAGAGTTATGGTGGAGATGGCCAATGAGGATCCAGTCCTTAAAGCATGTGCAGTATGCTCTACCTGGTATATATCCATGTAGAGGATTGGTAAGCTTGCTTCTGGTAGTGGGTGATGAAGGGACTCTTCCCTTCCTTGACTCAGAGCACGCACAGGTATCCCATGACTTTATCATCAGCTTTACTGTGTGATGACAAAAAAAAAAAAATCTGTTATTTGACTGCTGAACTATAACTGAGTGTGCATACAAAAGACTCTAAAAATGAAAGAACACTCTTTTCCCTGGTGGTGAGTAAGGCGATATCTGCTGTAAGCTTCCAGGTAGTGAGAGAAATTATACTAGTGGAAATGGTCACAATTTGCTGCTGGGTACCTTATGCCTCCATTCAGATCACCACATGGACATGAATGCATTGTGCTGCTTGTTTCGTTTTTGTCTCTGATGTGTTTATTCTTTCCTAATCTTAGCAGTATGAGAATTAGAGATCGATGGACCAAGTTTTGACCTGGTTAATTCCAGAAGGCTGGAAAAGCCGCCAGAGATCCAGTGATTGGAATCCATGGCGGAGTCTGCTGGTCACTGACGAAGCCCAGGACATCAAGGAACCAATCCTGAGGAGTAACCTCCTTGACCCCGCCCAGTAGTGAATCAAACCGGCAGCTGAGATATAGTATCCTGCAAGAAAGGTAGTGATTTGTCCATAAATTATGCACCCACTGGAAATGAACTTTAGGGTTATGTTTTCAGTTGAGTTTAAGTTTGAACTTGGGCAGCTAGGTAGTCCAGTGGATAGAGTGCTGGGACTGGTCAGGAAGACTCATTTTCATGAGTTCAAATTTGTTCTCAGATACTTGCTAGCTATGTGACCCTGGGAAGGTCATTTAACCTTGTTTGCCTCAGCTTCCTCATCTGTAAAATGAGCTGGAGAAGGAAATGGCAAACCACTCCAGTGTCTTTGCCAAGAAAACCCCAAATGGGGTTACAAAGAGTCGCATGTGACTGAAAATGACTGAACAACAACAAAGTTTGAACCTATTCTCCCTTGAGCTGAGTAGGTGTGTTGAGGGAAGAGGGTGCCATAGTTTTGAAGGGTTGGGAAGGGTGGGTTTGTACTTCTGTCCTTGCTATATTTACTTAGTAAATACTCCTTTGTAAAAGCTATTTGTTCTTAATTGGTTAATTGATATTGAGGAGATATCAACCAATTAATTGATATTGGGGAGAAACTAACTGGTTAGATGATCAATTGATATTTGAGGGAAGACACTTGTTGGGGGTTTGTGATCAACATCATTAGAAAAATACCTCAGGTCCCTTAAAGGTCACTCTAGAAACCTGCAAGGAGATGTAGCCAGACTTGCTCTGGGGACCCAATTTGAAAGTGCTAGTGTGGGTTGGGAGAGTGAGCCCAAACTCTACATGTCTTAGAATCACACAAGATGAGAAAGCATTGAGAGATTGTTGATTTGCATTAGTAGAATGAGTAAGCATTCTAATGAGATCATGAATCCATCAAAGTATTAGTCACAGAGCATTTTTGTGATAATATGGTATATTGGAGGCAGGAGAGACATGGAGTCAAAGACTGCCTGTAATAAATTACTAGCTGTGATACCATGAGCAAGTACCTGGGGTGAGTTCAAGTAAGCAGGGGTAGGTGATGGGTGGAAAGGATATACCCCCAGGTTAGGGCGTGCCACCTTCTCTACTGATCCTTAGTGTCTATTGTTCCATGGGTCCCTAGGCCAGCTGGCCAATGGATAGCCCTCTTAAGTTGGGTGCCATCATACCATCTTGGTGATTGGAGAAATGGCCTCAGGCGAGAAGAAAAACAGCAGGAGGACCTTTGGTAATGGTGAGTTCAGAGCCTGCTTCTTCCTCACAAAAACCATCATGGGAGTGGTGATGTGTGGGTTTCTTCCTATAGCTCCACGTGACCTGGAGTGCTTGCCATATGGAGAAAATGCACTTCCCTATGTTGGCACCCTGGGGTAAAACACAAGTGGCCCTATGCTAGTTATTACTTTTCTCCAAGCCTTAGTTTCCTCATCTCTAAAATGGTGATAGTAACACCTGTATCAAATAGCTCATAGGGTTGTCAGGAGGACTATATGAGCTGATGAATGAAAAAGACTTTGCAAATATTAAAGTTCTATATAAATGTCATCTGCAGTCAAAATTATTAATTATTCACATGATTCAAAGACACTGCACTGCATTATCCTCTTCCTGTCCTTCTCTTAGGCAGCAGGAGTCAGCCAGCCACAGGTTAAAGAAAGTGTATTTGAGGTAGCAGCCAGGCCAGGTGGTATAAGCAGAACCAAGGGGGCGCCCTCTATTGGTAATGAGATGTAGAGCACTAACAGAAGACTGACTCAGTTGTACTGTAACATCTGGGCATGGCTTGTGATTGGATACTAGTTGAGACAGTAAGGGGATATGGAGGTACTGGGTTGAGGGTGGTGACCAGGCTTCTCCATGGCCCCAACATCCATTTACTTACTTCCCTCTCTAAACTTGGTACCCACTTACCTCTTCAGAGGACTCACACTTGTAAGGAACTGAATGCTTGACCCACTTAGTAAGAACTCTTAACATAAAGAGGGAAACAGCCAAAACAACTGCATGCAAAATGTCCAATAATAGAAACTCAATCCTTTTAGAAATGGACACAGTCATACCTGACACATCCTACCTTTACCTACACAAACTGGCTATGTGACCTTGGGCAAGTCACTTAACTCCTTAGTGTGCCAGGCAACTGAGACTAAGCTTCAGAGAGGGTGTTGGCCTGCATTGGTAGAGGGAGCTTTCTCCTCCACAATTTCCCTTTATCAGTGAAACTAGATGTTTAGTCCCTATCCATAATTGTATCACTATGGAGAAAGGCAACATGGTGGTATGACCAGTGTTGGTGGTAGACCTGGATTGAAGTCCAGGCTCTGATCTTTACTAGCTCTGTGAGTTGGGCCAAGCCACTTCATTTTTCTGAGCCTCAGTTTCCTTATTTGTAAAATGGGATTAATGACACCTCACAGAGTTGTTGTGAGGAAAGCTCTTTGTAAATCTTTAAAGTACTCCAGAAAAGTTAGCTGCTATTTTTATGCCCACTTTACAGATAAGTAAAGTGAAGCCAAGAGAAATGAAAGGACTTGTCCAAGGTCATATAATTCTTGGTATTGTTTCTCATGCTCAACACTCTATCTGCCTTTGTGCTTTTGCACTGGATATTTCTCATAGCTAAAATGGCCACCCTTCTCATTTCAGCCTCTTAGAATCCTAAGGATCATTAAGACACAGCGTAGTCTTTCCTGATTCTTAGTAGTTTTTAGAGCCTTCCTCATTCCACCACCCCCATCCACCCCCCCACCTTGCTATATACACATACATATATATGTATATATATATTATATATACACACATATACATATATGTATGGATCTATATACACACCTCCCCCCGATGTATGTGCATGTTGTCTCCTCTGATGAAATAGAAGCTTCTTGAGGTCCCGGACTGTTTTTACCACTACTTTGTATTCCTAATGTTCAGCTCAGTGCCTGGCATACAGTGGACATTTGATAAATGTTTATTGACTGGTGGATCTGGTGCTAGAACAATTTGTCAGGGATGCCATACGTGAGATTTTTGCATTGGTTGATCGTTAGAGCAGATGATTCCTAAGGTCCTTTCCCATGATCAGATTCTATGACTCTGTTTATGATTCCCTAATTTTAATCAGACCTTGGAAGGGAGGAGACCCCAGCCCCAATTCTGGTGGTGTTAGACAACTATCCTTCCTGAAATGATCTCCTGTGAATACTGCTGGCTTCATAAATGATACCATTGCAGCTGTTGAGACGTCCAGCTACAATAGGGTGAAGATTTTTCTGCAACTTTTCAGTTTATCAGGATTTCTTTTGATGCAGCTCAATTCCTAATACTATCCCAGAGGTTTCTGTGCGCAAACAACTTTAGTCTGCTTTGCAATTTGGCCAAGTGGGGCAGGAAGCCTTGACCATCAGTCTAGGAGAAGGGTCAAGAATTCATGATTGTTGATGTTTAATATTTATTAAGCCTATGCTGTAGGAGGCACTTTAACAGAACATGCCCAACCTATGATGTGATTCCCTGCCTCTCTAGGGATTGGCAGTTGGAGTCGTTTGGCTCCTGGGAGACTGAGGCCATGAGGGCAAATGTTTGTGGGGAAAGCTAGGGAAGCAACTGAAGAAGTGTAAGGCCATGAGAGACTTTCATGAGCCTGGTTCACCCATTCCTCCCTGCTGCTAGCTCTAAGGCAGGACTTTCAGTAATTCCACGGGAGAAAAGATGTCATCTAGTAGGTTTTCAACCTGACTCCAAGGCCACAGGCAACTGTGGTCACTGTATGGAAGAATAATTGTCAGAGAATGTAGATTCCCACAGCAATGGGGTTAGAAAATGTGGCTCTATCTAAGGAAATTGTTTGCTTTCCCACCCTATCTCATTTTCTTCCTCAGTACCAATTATCACAGAATACCCACTGTATTATGCAGCTAACATAATACACAACAAATGTAGCCCATGACATATGACCACATGAGTAGCCCATGTAAGCTTTGAGGAGACATCCCAACTCCTTCTATCACAAATGAGTCTTGGGTAGCTTCCAGAACAATTTTAGATCTTTCCCTCCCCAAGAATCAGAAGTGATTTTCTAATGCAGGGGAGTTCTTAACCTTTTTTAATGCCACGGACCCCTTTGGCAGTCTGTTGAAGGGTTATACACACTTTCTCAGAATAATGTTTTTAAATGTTTAGGATTACAAAGGAAAGCAATTATATTGAAATACAGTTGTCAAGAAAAAGTTTTAAAGCAAGTTCGCGAACCCCTGCTTTAATGCTACTGGGTTCGAGCCCCATCATTGGTATGTTTTCCTCAATATTATCTGTTGAAAATCACTTTAGTCAGACAGCCTTAAGTAACTTTTGAGACAGGGGTATTTACTAAGAAAATACAGTAAGAATAGTTGGAACAAAATACCCCCTTTTTCCTCCAAAAAGTCTGTGACATGTTCTCCCACTAGTGCATATAGAATCCCAGGGAAAGTGGGCTCAAGCTCAGAGAGCACATATAGCAAAGGCGTAACTCATAGCTCCTAGTTGCTGGAAATTTTTTTTCTCATTAGACCCTTAGGTCTCATGCTATTTCTTTCTCCTTGTAGAGTCATAGATCAATGTCCAGTCTTTCCTCGGCTCTCAGTATAAACATGGCTGTCATCTGCTCTAGGGACATTGCTATTATTTGTCCTTTGTTTTTGAAGAGGACCGATGACATCACAGAGTAATGTCTTGCCTTGTATGTGCATTGGATTTAAGTGAGGCACAGTTGCACAAAGTCATCAACCTTACTCTCTCTTCCAGAGTTATCAAAGGCCAGTGGCTGGCAATGGCCCATGATGCCGTGGGTGACCTTGGTGTCTTTGATGTCTGACCAAACTCTAAGTGCTCCACAGCTCCTGTTTCAACCACCTTCATGGCCATTGGAACAAACTGTTCTCATCTGCCCATTCTGCCAGGGAAGTCTTCATGTGTTTGGGGTAGACATTCCCCTAACTCACCAAGGCTTTTTGGTTACCTTCAACCTGGTTTAGCCCTGTCTGCTGGGACAGTTTCCTGGGGTGTGGCCCCACTGTAAATGCTACAGCTTCTTGGAGCTCCAGGTGAAGAGTTGGGAGACAGGTGGACACCACAGGTAGATGAGCAGCCCTGAAAAGGGCTCAGCAAACCCTCGAACTAGAGGTGAGAGTCTTTCTAGAATGCTCCATGCACCCCCATCTACTCTATACAGTGTGAACTCATTTGTATACATGTTTCTCTCATTAGAATTTACGTTCCTCAATGGCAAGAATTACTATTGTTCATTTGTATCCCCAGTGCTTAGCTTAGTGCCTGACACATGGTAAACACCTAATAAATGCTTACTGAGATGTGAGATATATTTGGAAATTTCCCTGCAGTAAATCCTGGGTGGGGACATGATAAGCCAGGCAAAAACAACAATAGTAACAGCAACAAAATGATAGTCTCTGTTCTCAAGGAGCTTCTGGTCTAATGGGGGAAACAACATGTAAACAACTACATACAATAACATATAGCTGCTGCTGCTGCTGCTGCGGCTGCTGCTGCTTCTGCTGTTTGGTGGAAGAGGACCATGACTTCAGGAAGGTGATGCCGTGACTTACAAGTGAATTGGATTTAAGTGAGGGAGGGCTGTGCAAAGTCACCAGCCTCACCTTTACCTTTGGAGCCAATGGGTCTAGTGGCCAGATATAGATCAGGATGACTGGAGATGGCCCCCAAGATATAGCTAGGATAAAATGGGGATAATAAACAGAAGGATGAAGCGGGAATTGGGAGAAACCTCTTGATGAAAGTAGGATTTTAGTTGTAACTTGAAGGAAGCCAAGGAGGCCAGGAGTTAGAGATGAGGAGAGAGAGAGAGAATTCCAGGCATGGGAGACAGCCCATGGAAGTGCCTAGAGTTGGGAGATGGGTTATTTTGTTTATGAAACAGCAAGAAGGCCGGGTGTCATTCCATCAAAGAGTACTTGGGGATGAGAGAGGGAAGGTTTGGGAAAATAAGGTATAAGAAGACTACAAAGATAGGAAGGGGCCGGGTTTTGAAGGGCTTTGAATATCAAACAAAGGAGTTTGTAATTTGATCCTGGATGTAATTGGGAGTCACTGGAGTTTATTAATTTGGATGGGGCGGGGGATGAGGCAGTATTGACACTGATTGGAGGATGGATTGGATGGAGTAAGGAGAGACTTGAAGAGGGAAGAGTAATTCAGATTTCCTGCAGGAAATCCCAAGCATGTGGCCAGCTAAGGTCCCAGAGGAAAGGTGGGGGTTGGGGGGGTGATCACAGTGAAAGCGAGTCCTTCCTTCACTTCAAGGAACCATCTCCTTCTTGACTGAGAGCTCCTGCTAATGGGAGCCTGTTCTTTGTGTTCATTCAGATTTCAGCCTGTTTTGACGTTTTCTTCAAACTTTGTTCCAGTTTGCAGGGACATGGAACAGCTTGGCCTGTTTGTTATCTCAAAGACCACTTCAGCCAAAGAACAGAATGAAAAAGCTTGGGAACTTCATTCAGGGGCAAAGGCTCATCTGGAAAAACAACCCCCTTGTCATTCCCTCTTCTTTCTCACCCCTTCCTTGAATCGTATTCTCCAAGGTTTAATTTTGTCCCAAATCCTGCTTCAAAAATACATTTTCATCTTTGCTTTGGCTCACGTCCTGTTGAATGGAAGCCTGTCTGAGGCTCTGAGTAACAACTTCATTTTTTTCCCCTATATTCTTTTGGTGAATGTGATGGGCAAGAAAGCCCCCCTGAAATGCAGCATGCTTTTTGCCCTTTGTTCGATGGCATTTGGCTTGGTATAATGTCATCCTGATGGGTTTCTCTTCCCTCCTACAAGGAAGTACACTGTTTGATTTGATTCAAGTCAGCAAGCAATTATTAAGCCACCTACTATGTGCCAGGTGATGTGCTAAGTACTGGGGATACATACGTAAAATTGCAACAGTCTTTGCCCCTCAAAAAGCTTGCAATCTATTGGAAGAAGGAGGTGGTTTAAGCAAAAGAGATAGTTCAATGAATTAAAAAGCATTTATTAAAATGAAGACTGAGAGGAGGAAAGGAAAAATAGGGAGAAGAGGAAAAGATGAGGGAAAGAAAAGGAGGAGTGAAGGGAAAAGGAAAGAAGAGAGGGAGAAGAAAAGAAGGGAAAACAGAAATGAGGTTATTTAAGAACTAAGTGTGAGTTTCATGAGAGCAAAGACTGTTTAATTTTTGGTTCTGGATCTCCAATGCCTCCCTAACATGGTGTCTGACACATAGTGAGCACTTAATAAATGCCTGTTGAATGATTGATATACAGATCTAGAAGTGGGAGGGGCCTCAGAGGCCATGTGACCCAACACCTTCATTTTACAGATGGGGAAACTGAAAAACAGGAGGTTAAGTGACTTGTCCAAGGTCACATAGTAAGAGTCAGAACCATAGTAAGAGTCAGCACCTGAACCAAGGTCCTGTGGTTCCAAAGTCAGTGTTCTTTCTTTCCCCTGTACAATGCTGGCTTCTGATAATCGAAGCTCCAGGGTCCTATTCCCCACCTTTTCACCCCACAGGATTTATCTTAGGAGAATCTTTATCAAACTACAGGAAGGAGATCCCTGCAGCAGGGTTTGGGCCTTGCCATGAGCATGGAAGGACACAGCCACCTGTCCTCCCTTCCTGCTTACCTCTCAACTGACCAGCTGGCTGTACCGGTGGTAAAAACGGGAAGGGCGAATCATGCTGGTCTCTTGGCACCGCAGGTGCATGCGTCTTTCTGGTAGTTCTGGGTTAGGCTCTCTCAAGAGCTTGTAGGTGGAAAAGCCTTTTGAGGACCCCCTCAAATCCTAAATGGGAACCTGGACAAAGGATAAGAAATACAAGGAAGGAACACTGAAAAATGGAAAATGGGAGGGGAAGGATAGAAAGGGAGGGGAAAGAAGAATGAGTGGGGTGAGACATCAGGGGAGAAGAGAGACAACAAAAGGGAGGGAAAAACCTGGAAAGGAGGTTTAACAAAGGAGCCAGTGACAAAGGAAATCACTCTGTGGATACCAGCTGTCTCCTAAGTGACAGAGAGGGAGTCTTAGAGGAGGCAAATGCCGCCTGATCAAATTCAGGGAATTCACCTGAAATGATGAAAACACAGGAAGCTCTGAGGGCCTGCTGGTGATCTGCATCCACTTCAGATACATTTGAGAGGCGGGGAGGCAAAGAACCAATAGAAAAAGTCTTGTGCCTTCCTGGCCGGAGGTGTGGATGTCTTTTGTGATGTGAAGGCCCCTGTGTGTTCATGGTGGGACAGAAATATTGCGTGAATACCTGTCCATTTCTATAGCCCTTAAAGGTTTGCAAAAACCTTTAAAACAACCCTGTGAGGTACTAGAGAGTTAATTATCTCCATTTTACAGATGAGAAAACTAAGCCTCATGGAGAGCAAGAGGCTTGCCAGGGGTCACTCATCGACTAAGGAGAAGCCAGGATTCACAAATAGATCTCTCTGGAGTCCAAGATAGCATCCTGTCCACTTTTTCCAAAATGATTCTGCAACTTTACCCCCATTGACACTGAAATGATGAGCTCCTTGAAGATACAATCCTCCATAGCCCCTGTCTTCCCTTCAGGCTGCTAGTTGGTGCAGTGGGTAGAATGATGGATTTAGAATCATAAAGATCTGAGTTCAAATCTAGCCTCTACCTCTGCAAACTCTCTTCACCTGTCAGCTGATTTAAAAAAAATTTTTTATTGATTCTGCTTTTATACCACAGTTACTTTCTAATACCCCACTCCTGAACACTGAAATTTTCCTGGTAACTTACTAGCTGTGTGACCCTGGGTAAGTCACTTAACTTCTGGCTGCTTCAATTTCTTCACCTGTAAAATGGTGGTAATAATAATAGCACCTATTTCCCACAGTTGTCGTGAGAATCAAATGAGATCATATGTGGTCTCCTATCGAGTCTTTTGGCCTTCTTCCCAGACTTACTGAGATCTCAAAGCCCTAAATTAGACATCCTCAACTTGAGGACCTGTGAACTTGTTTTTAAAATATTTGGTTAACTATATTTCAATCTAATTTGCTTCCTTTGTAATTCTATGTATTTGATTTTACATATTTTTGAATGTTCTTTTTCATTTATTTATTTTTAGTTTTCAATATTCACTTTTATAAGATTTTGAGTTCTAAAAATGTTCTTTAGAAAAGAGGGCCAGAGGGGCAGCTAGGTGGCGCAGTGGATAGACCACTGGCCCTGGATTCAGGAGGACCTGAGTTCAAATGCTGCCTCAGACGCATAACACTTACTAGCTGTGTGACCCTGGGCAAGTCATTTAACCCCATTGCCTAATCAAAAAACAAAACAAAATGAAAAAAAGAAAAGAGGGACAGAGGGGGCAGCTAGGTGGCACAGTGGATAGAGCACCAGCCCTGAAGTCAGGAGGACTTGAGTTCAAATGTGGCCTCAGACCAAACACTTGACACTTACTAGCTGTGTGACCCTGGGCAAGTCACTTAATCTCAATTGCCCCCCCCCAAAAAAAAAGAAAGAAAGAAAAGAGGGCCAGAGACCTTATCAGGCTGCCAAAGGGGTCTGTGGTACAAAAGAAGTTAAGAAGCCCTGTCCTAAATGGCCATGAATTCAGGCTAAACGTGCTCCCACCAGCTTTAATTTTAGTTCAGCAAGCATGAATTAAGCATCTGTAATGTGTCAGGGTTCTGGGGATACAGAGCCAAAAATGAAATATAGCCCCTGCCTCAATGAGCTTATATTCTCAGAGGCAGGAAGCTGGATAAAATTATAGACAGATAAGATGATACAAAGTAATTTGGGCCTGGCCATGCCTAACACTGAGTGAGGAGAATCAGGAAACATACCAGAATGACCACTTTTCT